GGGTTCTTCCATTACATTTTAAAATTTAGGGTCGGTACTCGGTAGTGTAATTCGGAAAAATGTCAGCCGACGTGGTTAGAGCACATCCAAATGGTTGGTCTTATTGTGATCCGTTGTACATTTCATATGAAAATTGAATCGAAATATATTTCAGCTGATTTTGATTTGAAAAATTATTGGATATAATTTCTTTAAATGATAACGATTCAAAACCAAATATTAAAAAAACACATTTAAAACAAAATCATGAAACTTTTAAAAATAAGATTTTAAAACTAAATAGGAACTAAATTTAAAAATTATCTAAAAGTTACTGCTGTAATATTATTTCTAAAGGAGAGATAACCAACAAGACACAAAAAAAAATTGGTTTTTTAACATTAATTAATTTCATTTTACATGACGTTTTCGAATAATTTTTTTTGTTTCAAAATAAGTGACTTCAGATTTTTCATATAATTTTTAATAATTTTTTTTAAAATTTACTCATAATTAATAATACTTAAATATTCTGCATATTTAAAGATAACAATTCTTTATGCTATTTTGGACAAAATATTATTTTTCTTAATTTGTACGTTTAACCTCATGCAAAATGAAACTGAGGAATTATTTCATAACAATTACTAACATTAATTCATTATATTCATTGAGAAGAAAACAAAATCCGACCAAAAAAAGGAAGGAAAAAAAAAAAAGAGGAAGGAACGGTAACTCACATTGAAGCGCGTGAACTCTCGCTTGAGATGCCTGAGGAAGTGATCTTCACATCTCTCAAAATCTCTCTCGTCTTCTACGAAGAAACTAGGGTTCGCTCTCCTGAACGTTCTTCGATGCTCGACGTGAAAATTCCCCAGTATCGAAACCAGTGATTTCTCGTCCACTCCCATTCCTAATTAATTCATAATTTTCACTTATTTTTCCTTAATCATAATTATCGAAAACATTGAGGGAGATTATGATTTAATTACCAGACAATGCATTTGAGAGAGCTTCCAAATCAAGAAAAACATTCATTTTTTCACACGCTTTTCTGCTTCTTCTTCTGTTATTTCGTTTTCTGCAACAAGCTCCAGAAGAAATGGCGGAATTTATACGGAGGAAAGGAAGGGTAATACCGTGGTTTTGGAGATACTCTGAGGGTATTTTGGTAATTCAAGGAGAATGTGTTTTTAATAATGTCCGTGTTTTGACAAAACGTCAAGGATGTTATAACTTATACAACGAGGCGGCAACGGAGATATGATGTTTCCTCATGAATTTATTGCATTTTTGTTAGCAACGATTTGGTTTTTATTTTCAAATTAACTGAGGTTTCCGTTAATCGTGGTAACTAAGAAGGGGTTTAATAAGTGAATAAGGATATATAACTAACGTTACTCCTTTTTTACCTTTTGTAATTATTATGTTAAAGATTAGTAATGATGACATGAAAGCTACTTGGAGGGACATTAAAATTGAGGTATTAATGCATATAAGTCTATGGCCCCAATTTGGACCCTTTACACAACACATTTTATTAATGAGATTGAAAGCATCATAAATTCAAAGACAAACTTACAAGTAAATTTAAATCAAGATATGACGTTTGGATTTGACCAAGGTCACCCTTTCCTAGGTCACCCTTTCCAGGGCGACTCGAAACGCGATTCCGATCAACTCGAACACCACAACCCCACCGGCCGGCCCACTGCCGGCCGACACAAACCCCCCGGCTCGGCCCACTGCCGTCCGGCAAAACCCCCGGCTTGGCCCACTGCCGTCCGGCAAAATGCCACCGCAACTTCGCTCTGCTTCTACCGCTTCCTCTCGGGCGACCAGTGAGCTTACCAGTCCTGTCGTCGCCTCCACAGGTCCGAATCTGGGAAACCTGACTGCCGCTCCAGTTCCGGGGCAAGCCTCGCCCTCTGATGACATTTCAATGGATTTCATTGAAGGTTTACCAAGATCAGCAGGTTATAATGAGTCAGGTTGGTCCGATACAAATTTATGAACATGACCATGGGGAGTCGCCGAAAGGCCAGGCTGCGGGGAATACACCCTTGACCTCAGCTCTAGGAGCTGTACCACCAATGGAAGGCCAAGTGCCTACCCAATCTTTGCCCAGATCCGCGGCTACTCAACCAGCCTCACACTCCACGAGTCCGGTGGTTGAAGCCTCGGGAAACTCAGCAACCCCATCAGAGGGAAAATCAGTCCGAGCTCAGCAGGAGAGGAACAAGATAATGAAGAAGAGAGTTCTATCAAGACTCTGCGGAAAACTGGAGCACCAGAAACTCACCGCACAGGTATTCCGTTAATCAATTTTACGGCTGACATGCTCCAAGCCTCGAGCAAGGAGTGGGACGATTTCATAATTGGGCAATTCTACGGTAGACCCCCAACAATGGGCAAGATTATCGGGGTAGTAAACGCAATTTGGGCGAAGGGCGGGCCTAGGATCAAAGTTCACAGCATGGGTCAAGGGGCTTATCTCTTCAAGATACCGAGTGCGCGTCTAAAATCCTCTATTCTTAGGCGAAATTTCTGGTATGTTGGTGACTGTCCTATGTTCATTTCTGAATGGGACCCGACTCACAGGCCGGATAAACCTGCTCTCCGATCAGTTCCGACATGGGTTACATTAACAAATCTTCCAGAAAAGTTGTTTGACTCAGATAGTTTGGCCAGACTGGCATCGTGTATTGGAGAACCGTTGTACCTGCACCCGGTAACTGAGGCAAAGGATTCTTTTAGTTTTGCCAAGATTTACGTGGAGGTTAGCATGGCTCAATCACCCCCAAAACATATAGCAATTTCACTGCCTGGGGAGGAGGAAAGAATTATCCCGGTTGCTTATGAGTGGCTCCCACCTAGCTGTGCTCATTGTGCTGAACTAGGGCACATCGCTAGGTACTGCCCAAATATCCAACAGCCGGAGAATGATAACCAACCAATGCAGTCGCACACCCAATGGAGAAGGAAGCAGTCAAGCTCTGACAAGGGAAACAACTATGGAAATCAGGAAGGGGAGGAAGCAAAATCAGGTGTAGTAGAACAAAGAAAATGTGAGCATATGAGTAAAAAAGCTGATCGAGCCATAGCTACAGAGCAGAGTACAGCTACTGGTCCTACTGAGTTGAGGAACACAACTAACATAGAAATTTCCCAAGAAGGGAGAGTAAACAAGCCCCCACATGACCAGTCATCCATTGGAACTGCTAGACCTGCCACTCCTGAAGGAGGTAAGACTGAACCAGTCAGTCTGACTGCCAATCAGTTGGGAAAAATGAAGAACAAACCAAATTCGACCACAGGTCAGAGATCTGATTTTAGCTCGGATAATACATCTACTTCATTGTGCAAGAAGGGGGCAAATGTAAAAGAAACAGATGATGGCTTTAAGCTTGTAAAGCCGAAGGATCGTGGTTGTAAAACCACGCAGAAGAATCGCCCTTGACCCACAAAGCTCCATGATTTTTTGTTGGAACACAAGAGGATTGAACGGCAGGAATAAGAGTCGTAGCGTTAAGCAATGGATCACAGACCACAAGGTGTTGGTCGGCGGCCTTTTGGAGTCACATATCAAACCGCCAAACGCTACAAGAATCCTCTCGGCAGTTCCTTTCGGATGGAGAACATTTTGTAATCATGGAGCAGATCCATCCGGCAGAATTTGGGTGATTTGAGATCCGTCTATAGTACTCCACATTTACAAAGCTTCGAGCCAAGCAGTCACTTGCGGGATATTCGACCCCGCTCTACAAATAACTATTACAGCAACTTTTGTCTACGCGAAGAATACGGCATCAGAAAGGCGAGCAGTTTGGGAGGAAATTTCAGAGCTCAGTCGACATCAGCTGATACAAGGCAGTGCCTGGGTAATAGCGGGTGACTTCAACCAAGTGTTATATCACAATGAAAGGTCTGATCATGGAATTATGAATGCCTCGTCACAAGGAATGCAGGATCTAAGGTATTGCATCGAAACAGCGGGACTTTCAGATATGCAATATAGGGGGTTGCACTATACATGGTGGAACAACCATCAAACAGACCCAGTGGCATTTAAACTTGACAGGGTACTCATAAATGAAAATTGGTTTGAACGCTTCCCGACAGCTTACACGGAGTTCTGGGCACCTGGTCCTTCAGATCATTCACCGAGTATTATTTGCTTCCCCGACAGAACAGTGCAGGTTCGGAAATCTTTTAAATTTTTCCCGCATATTGCTCTTCACCCGAACTTCCTGCAGGTGGTTCGAGAGAACTGGGATTATGACAGCATGGTAGGGACAGCACAGGAAAGACTGAAGGGATCTCTTAAGGACCTCAAAAAACATTTGCGGAATCTGAATCAGAGTAAATTTAGCAACATTTCTCAAAGAGTGAAGCAGTTGGGAGCTGCACTAGCAGACATTCAAGATCAGCTACTACACACCCCTACACCTGAGCTAATACAGACTGAGCATAGAGCCAGACATGCTTGGAACCTTATGATGGTGGCAGAAGAAAACTTCATGAGGCAGAAATCTAGGGTGCAATGGTTAAAACTAGGAGACAGAAACACAGGGTATTTCCATCGAGCTGTGAGAGGTAGAACTGCAAGAAACCAGATCCATTATCTGATTGATGAAGAGGGAAACAAACTTCAAAAAATGCAGGAGATTAAGAATCACGCCATTGACTTCTATACCAAATTGTATGGGAACAACCATGAAGTGTTGGAACATATTCAGTTTGAGGAATTGAGGGAACTTTTGCCATTTAGATGCTCAGCACAACAGAGGGGGTCACTTCTAGCTGCAGTTACGGCAGAGGAAATCATGGCCGAATTTCAAATGCTCCCGAAGAACAAGAGCCCGGGTCCAGATGGCTATTCGAAGGAATTCTTCACTGCAACTTGGGATATTACGGGACCAGCCCTGGTGACAGCAGTGCTGGAATTCTTCCGAACGGGTAGACTATGCAGGGGATTTAATGCAACGGCAATCACTCTAGTACCGAAAATGCAAGGGGCTGACAAACTCGTTGATTTCCGTCCCATAAGCTGTTGTAATACAGTTTATAAGGTGATCTCTAGAATCCTTGCGCGTAGGCTAAAACCAATCCTACAAGAATGTATATCTGCAAATCAATCCGCCTTTCAGAGTGGAAGATTGATGACAGAAAATATACTTCTGGCTTCCGAACTGGTCCGAGAATATGGCAGAGTATCATCGGGGAAAAATTCAATGTTAAAGCTGGATATTAGAAAGGCCTTTGACTCAATCCGGTGGGTTTTCATCGCAGAAACGTTGAGAGCAATGGACTTCCCCCTACATATATTCACTTGGTCCGACAATGTATAACAACGACGATGTTCTCCATCAACATCAATGGAGAGTTAACGGGGCTCTTTAAAGGGAAGAGAGGATTACGACAAGGAGACCCGCTATCCCCATACCTGTTTATAATTGCTATGGAAGTACTCTCAAGAAAGCTCGATCAAGCGGCATCAATTGGACAACTTCAACTACACTCAAAGTGTGCAAACCCACTGCTTACACATTTGATTTTTGCTGACGACCTCGTCATCTTCAGCAAGGCATCCCGACAATCTATGCAAGCTGTCCAGAATTGTCTAAATTGGTTTGGGAGAAACTCAGGTCTGGAAGTTAATACAGGGAAATGTGAGATGTTTCTTGGGGGCCTAACTGATTCTGAGAAGCAAGAACTTTCATCATGTATGGGCATAGCACTGGGCAACTTTCCGATGAAGTATCTAGGGCTCCCGGTGAATACTCATAGATTAACAAAGGCTGACTATGAGCCGCTTCTAGAAAAAATCCGCGCCAAAGTCAGCAATTGGTCAAGTAAGCTGCTTTCATATGCAGGGAAAGTACAATTGGTTTCTGTCGTTATATATGGTATGGTTAGTAGCTGGAGTTCTACTTCCCAAATTTCTTCTTAGACAAATCGATGCAATATGCTCCAAATTTCTTTGGAAAAATTCTCAGACAAGTACCGGAACAGCGAGAGTTGCATGGAACATTATTTGTAGGCCTCGGAAGGAAGGAGGACTGAACATCAAGAAAC